TACTTTTACAGTTATGTAAAAATACAAGGGATTACTATATTTTTAATATGGCGTATTACTGTAAGTGTGCAGCAGAATACAGCGACGTCACAGTAACCTTCAGTAGACTGTCAGATCACAGTGTACAGATTTTCCTGTTATTATTACAGTATTAGCACTATATTGTGCTGTGAATGTATTGCAGCAAGTAGCTAGTAATTAACTGTAATTCTAGTGTGATTTTTTACAATGTTGCTATAAATCTCTAAATTAAGGCCTAAAAGATACCAGAGAAAAAAACAGAAACAATATAAATGTTAAAAGGGAAAAGATCAACTACACTCTTAAACATAAAGGTCCCTAAATGTTTCTAGGCTTGGTCATACAGTTCTAGGAAAAACCTTTGAAAACCAAAAATGGCTCTTTAAAGAACCATCCATTGAAAGGTTCTTTTGGGGAACCAGAATTTATTCTTCCATGGCTTTGCTCCAAATAACCCTATTTAGGCACCTTTATTTATAAGAGTGTTTTATTACTACAGAAATTGGAGCCCACAAATGAGAAATTTTGTATATCTTTAAAAAAACGATACTGCTTGGCTGATGCTGCAGCTCATTAAGGGCAGAATCAGAATGATCAGAATTACTACGGCAGTGAAGAACAACGCTAAAATAAGTGTAATATACAAAACACCTACTGAGGTACAGGGCCTGCAGGAGATTCTGACAGCTGAATTATAAAGGCCACACTACAAGATGCAACCCCCTCATCAGTATCAGCTAAAGAAAGGCTAGCTTACAGCACACTAAAGTAGTTATTAGCCTGCAAAGTTCCAGAACAAAGTTTTACAGAAAGACACGATGAAGATAAATGTGATGGTTGGGGTGTGAAAAAAGTAAAAACACACTGTCTCATCTGTACGGTATAGTGGGAGTAGAGTCATGGCTACACATGCGTTGCATCAACAGCTAAACAGTTCTATCATATTGATTTATAATGTTGTTTATTATACTATCACAATATTTAGGTGTATGTAGTGTTAGCTATTATGTGTTGATGATAATACATTTATCATATATATATATATATATATGTATATATATATATATATATATTAATTGCCCATAAAAATTCCTGATCAGTGCATCCCTGAAGGACAGAACTACAACTATTACTATGAGCTGTATAGGTGCTCGGACCAATAACACAGTAAAACAGCGGTACAAACATTAAATAAAGCCTGAAATCACAATGTGACATCATAGTGGGAGCTTGTGAAACCAGAGCTATTCTTCATATCTAAAAAAAACATGATAACAATACATGTCCTGAATTTAGCGGTATACCTTATTATTGAATATCAGTGCATGTCCAGTAACAACCTAAAACACAGCCACAAGTCCAGCTCCCGATTTCTAATCAGTCCAGTAACATGCGTTGTTATATCTGATATCCGTCTCATCATCTTTAATGGAAGCTGCTGAATTTACAGTTTTGGATTTCACTCTCGGTACATCTGCAGGACGCTCTGTATGAATCATTCTACTGAAGTGGCTCAAAGTCTGAGCTGAAAACACATCTCTGACTTTTAACTGACTCAATGATTTAACATTTCATTTTGCCACTACCAAAACAATAATAATGCCTCCAAAACTTTATCAAATGTTTCAGTAGTGACTGTTTCGGTAATGACAATTTTATCTAATTTTGAACAGAATTCGAAACAATATCCAGTACATAACTAGCAAACATAGCTATGAACAGATGTACACACATAAAATCATAATATTTTATTAAAACACAAAAAAGTTAATCTGCAGAAAATATGTTTTTCGGTGGTGACAAGTCTTAATGTTCCACACTGATTTTCAGACTTTGGAACATGTTTACTTCAAAGCAGGGGTGTGGCTAAAATAGGGCTCCGCCTACAGACAAAAACTCACTGGGTTTTGGTTGTGACATAAATATAATAAGAATAAAGTTTTTTTTAATTTAAGAATTAGACTCATGATAGATATAAATCTTTCAACTTCATTTTAAAAGAAATTAAAAAGATTTTAAAAAGCATACAAACTTATAAAAAAATGTTAGTATTATTTTCACAAGCTGAAATTTTTGGGTTAGAGTTTGGGACAGCCACCTCCCAATAGTACCCTAGTAAATAAAGTACCCTATAAATGATGATTTTGTATATATTTTGCTTATTACTGTCTGTATTATTGCCTTGGGTTTGAGTAGATCATAACATCATTGTCAGTATCTAAGGTCTGAATACTTAATTGTTGTTTTAAATAGTTTTTACCGCGGAACCTCAGTTTGAACTGATTTGGTACAATGCTCCATATACAGCTCAGGTACAGAGTGCTGCCATTGCAGCTTTATGCCTTAAGACAGTCCACAGCTTGGACTCCCTTTCGCTCCAAAAGCTACATGCAGCCTAATTCAGTAATGACATCCTGAGAGCCTGCAGAAATCAGATACAGCTAAAGCCCACCCACATGCCAGTGCAAATGTATTGTGTGCATTAGAATTCTTTTTGTAAAGGAGCTACGAATCCTTGAAGATGACTCTATCTTTAACAGTAAATATTTTAAAATCATTATAATTCAAGTATATAAACAGCTATACGGAGATAAAGCAGGCCTTGGAAACTGTCCTGAATGTTTTTAACATTTGTCCAGTTTTGGCATACAAGCAGCAGCTGATCACGGAGATGCTGAGATGATTCTGCTAACGGAGGCTATCAGAAGCACGAAATAGGGAAAGTGATTGAGGTGCTACTTCCCGTTTTAAAAAAGCAGATGAGATTATATCACTGGGAGCTTGTGGGGGAGTGTGGTGTAAGACATGTTAGAACAGCTTTATTTATGGTCTAGTTCAAACATGCCTTTGCTCAAAGCTTCACTGCCATTTGGCGTCTCTTTGGGCCAAATTCATTTGTGTTGATGATCTCCTTCTCCAGAGACGGACATGCAAAGTAATCATATTTCACGGTTTGGCCGTCCTCCACCTTTATATTGACATTGGTTTTGTTTTTGTAAGAACAGTGTTATCCTTAATTCAGGCTTTATTATTCAGTTAGTCATCTTGAGACTTATTATTATACTAATATGTAGGTTATGTTGTTAAGAGACTGTGAACCTGAGATCTGCAGTAGAAAGAAACTGGAGAAAGTAGGGGTGTGAATCTCTGAGCTGAAGATTTCCATTTGATTTAAATTGATTTAGGTTAAATTAAATGCGTCCTGAAATCTCAGATTTCACTGCAATTTGGTTGAATTTGGTTTGATTCGACCTCTTTGGTTCAGACTTGTTTTTAATTGAATTTAATGTGGTTGTTTTCTATTTACACAATGTTGTAATATAGAAAGTAAAAATAACATACCATTATTGAAGATTTAAAACAGCCTGGGAATTTTATTTTGGCAAAAAAATGAACAAATAATGATGGTCATATAATGGTCGTGAAAATAAGCTGCACATCTTCTACAGAGAACACACTTCAAAATGAGTACTCTTAAAACACGACATACACATTGATTCATCACAATGTATTTTAAACTCCTGCTCTGAATGTATTGTAACATGAAGCTATCAGCAGCAGGGTGGAGGAGATGCGGCCAGTCTGTCTGATACACCTGACACATGGTGTGTAGATTCTTTGTGTACTGTTCAAAATTATTCTAAAAAGAACTCCAATTACATGCAAGTAGCATCTACAGTACTGTGCAAAACAGAAACCACCCGTTATTTACACCCGTCCAGTTGAAGCGGCCATTACATAAATAAGTTATTAATTTGTCATATAAGATAACTGACTTGCATAAGGAAGGAGAAAGTCAAAGGAAAATAAGAGAAAAAAATAAAAAGCTACAGTGAAAATGGGACTCTTAACACCTGTGCAAGACCTGGCAGAACACCACAACTGTCACCATCAGATAAACAGTACCTTCCATCTTTGAGAGAGAGGAGAAAATCAAGCTCCACTCTTGCTTCAGATCTGAAAAAATCCACACTATGAGTCTGAAAGGATGTGTAGCTGTCAAGAAGCCCTTACTGAGAAAAGGAAACAGACAAAAAAAGTAAAAAATGCAAATCAAACAAAGAAGCGCCTGGTGTTCTCAGAACAGTTGACTGACCACCCCGGAGTCCAGACCTCAACATCACTGAATGTGTTTGGGATTATTTGGATTGTGAGAAGCAGAAAATGCAACCAACTTCTAAGACTGAACTTTGAAGATGTGGAAAAATATCGCTGCAGATTTTTCCAATCTGATTAAAATCAAATTTCCTGAAAAGAATGGAAGCTGTGATAAAGGTAAAGGGTGGATACATTAATTGCTGAAAAGAGTATTATATTTAGTTATTGATGCTTTGGTGTAATTTTCCGTTAATTATATGTTTGCTGATGCAAAAAAAGAATGACTTGTATTTAATGGCTGTTTTGACTGGAAATTAAATAAATAAAAGGCTGGTCTCTGAATTTTGCACAGCAATGTATCTACACATTAGTGAAATATAGACAATTAAAATAATGTACTGGAATTTTGATTTTTACATTTTGAAAATTTAAATTAAATATTTTTGTAATTAATTATAATCAGTTTGTACCATGTGATTGTAAGCTTGTTCTAAGTCAGCACATTTATTTATTTTATGGTGCCATATTTCATAAAACCAAACCAATATTTTAATTTTTAAATGTAAAATATCAGCAGTTATTCCAATTAACATTAATATATTGTATTCTAGTAACAGTCAATTTCAGCAAAAACAAAAAAAATGGGAAAAGATGGTTAAAATTGATTATAACATTTTACTGTAGCTGAATCACCACCTTTTTAACAGCCCTACAGTAGAAGCGTAAGGAGACTTGATGGAGCGACCTCCTCCTCCCCTGTGTGTCCTCACTATTACATAACAGGCCATCGATTTGATTTGTTAATCAGATAACGCTGTAGTGGTGTAGCGCGCGTGTGGGGTTTGCGTGTGTGTCATTGGTCTGGTGTGTGTCTCCTGCAGCCCATGGGATCAGAGAGGATGGAGATGCGAAAGAGGCAGCTGTCGGGGCAGCAGGAGGCGGTGGCGGGGGTGACAGTGACGGCGCCGGCGCAGCAGGGCCAGGCGGGCCAGGGCCAGCGCGCCTCCAACGCCTGCTGCTTCTGCTGGTGCTGCTGCTGCAGCTGCTCCTGGTACGACACTTCCTTCTTCATTCCTGCACACCAAGCTACACCAAAACACCATCTCTGCTACACTGGCTCAGGCTGACTCACTTGACTCAATGATAAGATTCTATACTGATAACGTTGATAATCTTTTATATTCCTAAGCCATAAATGAAGCCCAAGTTGTGCAGATTTTTCACCGCTTCCATAATATAATCTGATCTGCTTGATTTGTTCGATGATTTTTTTAGGAAACTGTTGAAATATTAAATCTCACTATGATTTGGTTTGATTATGATTCGTTAGTAAACGATTCAGTGTACCCTGAAGTCATAAATTATTTAGTGCATCTTAAAATCTCACCCCAATTTGATTCAGTATGATTCTTTAGCAAATGATTCATTGCATCATGAAAACTCTCACTCTGTTTGGATTTGATTATGTTTTTTTAGGAAATGATTCAGTGTATCATGAAATCTTAAATTTGATTCAATTGTGATTCTTTAGGGAATGATTCAATGTATCTTAAAATCTCAATGTCATTAATTTGATCTGACTATGAGACATTAGGAAATAATGCATCATGAAGTCTTAAATCTCTGTGTGATTCTGTTTGATAATGATTCTTTAGTAAATGATTCAATGCATCATTAAATCTAACAGTCTGATTTAGTTTGATTATGATAGTTTAAGAAGTAATTCAGTGCATTCTGAAATCACAAATTTCACTTTTTAGGAAACAATTCAGTGTATTCTGAAATCTTAATATAACCACTATTAATTTATGATTCTTTAGGAAATGATTCAATGCAATATGATTCTTAAATCTTAACACAATTTCATTACAATTCAAATTTGTATTTGTATTTGATTCAAGGTTTTTTTAAATACACTAAATACACTGAATTCTGATTGGTGGAGCTATTTACAGAGCAATAATTCATATCGAATTAAAACATGGTAAAACTTGAGAGGTTGTGATTTGATGATGCAATGAATCATTTCCTAAGGAATTGTAATTGTATTGAACTATGGTCAAATTTAGAATAGCAATACATTGTGCATTTTTGCATTTTTGTGTTTGAAAATAGCCTGAAGGTGTTAAATTGGGCAAAAAATTATAACATTCCAAAATCTATACAGCTGATTAATTGCCTTTGTTTCATTCAGCGATGAATGAGGTAGAAGGTGATGAATTGTGCAGCAACCGATGGTCTACAGTCTGTAATTACACACCTGTATAGTGGTGCCATAATGTAGGTGAGAGTCATAAAGTGACCGATTGGTGGAAATACAAGTTAAGTGTTTCCAATAAAGTGGCCAGTGAGTGTAATAATAAATGGTGTGAAAATATTTGCAAACAGACCCTAAAAGCTGCTTCTTCCAAGTGCCGTGTGTTTGGTGTCTGGGGGATCATGATGTGCTTACTACCTTGCAGTCTCACTGTTAGGAATGAAGACAGAGAGGAGAGGAACCGGAGAGCCTCGTATGACGTCAAAGCGGAGGGCACGACAGACTGTGAGGAGAGGTCAGTTACACCACACTCAACATGTTTTTTACTTAGGTAATATAGTAAAATATACTAAGTAGTGCAACTTACTAGTGTTAACTGTGACAATTCAACAGAATCCAGACGCTCGCGGTGTAAAAGGGCGAAAGGCGGTTTAATGGAGTTAACCAAAATCGTAGTCAAAAACCAAGCGTGTGTCAAAACCAAAAAGCAGCCACAAAACACAACGATGATCAGATCACCGTGTGAACTAAACCAAAGGGGTAAGACAAAAGGGAAGGTCAAAAAACAGTCCAAAAAGGTCAAAAACACAGAACAGCACAAAAACCAGCAACAGTATCCAAATGGGGTAAGGCAAAAGGCAGAGTCGGGAACGAGAAACAAAGGTCAAATACACAATAGACAACAGATCAGAAGAAACGCTCAGTAGGTTCGTAAAGAATCAATACCTCGCAGTTAGCTATGGCTAAAGCCCGGGCTTATAAACTAAACTAAGAAGGTCATGTGACATGAGACACAGGTGAAAAGAGTTAATACTCCGGAGAGCGAGAGCGCTGATAGGAGCGCGGTGTATGGTCAGAAGTCATGTGATCCCCTTGAGGACTGTGGGTGTTGGAGTCCATATCTTGCTGTGATACTGGCAAATGCGTGACATTAACTAAGAACTAACTAGTAACTTTACGCGTAATCTTACACACAAACTTACGCAAAAACCGACGTGACCCAGTCCAAATCCTGCTAGTTACTTATTTTACTTTGTCTTCTCCGTCTGTCATCATTATGCCCGTCAGCTTTATCAGCTATTCATAAGATATAACAGGTCACTGTTGCCCTTTTTATGTATGCATTATAACTGCTTAACAATGTTTTTAAGGTGGTTATGACCTAATTAATAACCCTTAATACTCCCCTTTTATCAGGGGAGTCTTATAGTAAAATGGTACCAAAAATCGCATTGTGGCATTATTAGTATTATTATTATTATTTATCTTAGAGTTTGAAATAGTGTTCAATTTTTTAGTTTTTCAGCATGACAAACTCTTAAGGGAATAGTTTGCAAAAAAAGTCTAAAATGAAATGGACACCATTTTACACTTCCCAAATGTAGTCAGCCAAAATGTGTTGTATGTTCCATACTTCTGTCCATTTTTTATAGATAACAGTTTGTCATACAGTGTTAGAAACTACATAAGCAAGTCTATTTGAGAGATAAGTACATAATAATTTAGACGTGCAGTTTTCTTAGTGCTAATTGGTCCAGCACAAAACTAAAGAGGCAAATTTAGACCCCAAACTTTTCTTGGCTGATCAACTACGTTTGGCTATAAGTGGCATATTTTAATATTGAGGGTATCAGATGATAGCTAGATAGCTAGATAGATAGATAGATAGACAGATAGATAGATAGGTACTTTATTAATCCCAAATAACATTTTGCTGAATTTTGTTTCCCATCATGTATCTTACTGTATGATACATGCATAACTTCAAATAAAAATGGATAAACCTCCAAAATAACCCTCTACTTTCATTTTGGCAGCCCGAAGCCCACTGTGGATGAGGTGCGCTTGTGGGGGCAGTCCTTCGATAAGCTAATGCACTGTCCGGCCGGCCGCAGTGCCTTCCGCCAGTTCCTGCGCACCGAGTTCAGCGAGGAGAACATGCTCTTCTGGCTGGCCTGCGAGGAGTTCAGCAAGGAGACCAACAAGAGCGCCATCGAGGAGAAAGCACGCCTCATATACGAGGACTACATCTCCATCCTCTCACCCAAAGAGGTGCGTACATGCGTGAAATTATGCTACCATTAAAATGTGAATCACTGTTCAAAGGTTTCAGTAATTTTAGAACAATGTACAAAATGATAAATGATTCTAATGATGATTCTGTGCATCTTTACAGCTGTCAAATTATGTGTGAAGAAAAGAGTTTAAAAATATATGTGTCCACTTACTTTACATTTCAGGCTTTACTCTGTAACAGAAAAATGGAATTAAAAATGGATTCCAAACTTAGAGTGCAGTGCATTGCCAGAATACTGCAGGGTGTAGTTCTCAAGCTCAGACCCCACCATGCTGCAGCACTGCAGAGCTTTTTGTGGTTTACACTCCTCTGGCATGTCTGTTTTAACTGATCACTTATCCAAATGAACGAGGTGTGATGTGGCAGATAAAACACTAAACTATGCCAAGCTTTTGGCCTTTAGGATTTGGGTTTAATCAAGCTGAATCGCGTTGAATTGAGTTTAATCAATTTGAATCAAGATTGATCAAGTTGAACTGAACCTAGATGAATCATGTTGAATCAAAATTAATAAAGTTGAAGTGAGATGAATCGAGATTAATCGATTTGAATCAAGCTGAATGAAGTTGAATGGAGTTGAATGGAGCCGAATCAACCCTTTAATGTTCTGCTCAACCTTTTGGTAGAGCACATTTGGAGTCACTATATATGTTCTGATTTTGCCACAAAGTGCCATCTCAACAGTTTGGTAGACGTGAATATTTTTAAAACACCAATTGTTTATATTATTGCTTGGTGAGGAAAAAGGCCAGATTGAGTTAAGTTGAATCAAGTTGAATCGAGTTGAATCGAGTTGAATCTAGTTGAATCAAGATGAATTGAGATGAACTGAGACGAATCGAGATTAATCAATTTGAATCAAGTTAAATGGAGTTGAAAGGAGTTGAATCAACTTGAGTTAAGTTGACTCAAGTTGAATCTATTTGAATCAAGATGAATCGAGATGAACCTAGATGAATCAAGTTGGATCAAAATGAATCAAGTTGAACTCGGATAAATCGAGATTAATCAATTTGAGTCATTTTAAATGGAATTGAATGGAGTTGTAACACTGTACAATCTTCCTCTCCAGGTGAGTCTGGACTCGCGAGTACGGGAGGTCATCAACAGGAACATGCTGGAGCCCACGTCTCACACTTTCGATGACGCCCAGCTGCAGATTTACACGCTAATGCAAAGAGACTCATACCCGCGATTCATAAACTCCCCGGTCTACAAAAACCTGCTGAAGAGCGTCTCTGAGCAGTCTCCAGAATCCTAGATCTCTGTGATCCCGCTCCAATAACCCCTCCCCTTCTTCTTCTTCTTTTTTTTTGTTTTTGTTTTTTTGGGTTCTCTTTTCCTTTGCATAGAGTATGTTTAAAAGGGCCTCAGCGCAGGTCCTTGCAGGGATTTTACTGCATTAGAGATCAGTACCTGAAAAAAGACACTCAGGTCCTCCAGGTCACTGGATTAAAAAAAAATGTCTCAAATCTCCTGAGGGCTCAACACCACAAGTACTGCTACAGATCAACATAGCAAGATGCTCCAAAGGATTTACCAGTGTGTTTTTGGTGTTTTTAAGAAAAAAATCTATTTTATTTGTGTTATGATTTTTTTTAATTATTGTTTTTAATTACCTTTTTTTGTATTCTGTTTGAAAGAAGAAGTGAACCCCCTTGTGGGCTATTTACAGTATATACAGTAGATATATTTATTGAATTTGTAATATATTTCCTCAACAATCTTTCTTGTCTTACAATATTTAAAGAAAAGGGAATTATGGGTAACAGGACGTGCCCAGTTCTGAACACTGCGTATGAGAATCAAAGCTCAAGTCAAGGCAACACATCAGCTTTAGTCACAGGAAACTGTGTGAGGTACTGTAACGATCCAGCTCCACATATTCCACTACCTGTTCCTCTCATAATCACTTGGCATCTCCAATTGGAAAAGACATTTTGCCATATTAATTTTTTTTTTTCTTCAAATCAGTGTTAAAACAGAAAGTAAAAAAGGCTGAAATGTAAAAGCAGATTTAGTAATACATATGAAAAAATGAATGGAAATGATCCTAAAATTTCTGGATCATAAATGCTAACATGTCCAGCCTAATCAGCAGATCCAGTCTTTCATACTTACTGATTTTTATTCTCAAGTATTTATTTCACAAGTGTATTTCTCAATAGCATGAAAATGGCATGCTGCACCCTATATAATCCTGTGCGTAATCGGACAGGATCACAGTGTTTGTTGTCTTGTCGCTGTACTCCAGCTCATTGGATTAAAAATGACACAATGCGTATTGGTTTAAAGGGCATTTTAGCTTTAATTGAAGTGTATTCACATCTACTTTTTTTTGACACTGTGTAAAGCGTCCTTGGGTTTGTGAAAGGCGCTATATAAGTTGAACTTATTATTGTTATTATTATTATTATTATTATTATTATTATTATCACTTTGGTTCACACATGTAGAAATCACAGTTCTTTCATTCTTAGATGCTCTAAATTCAGGGGGACCACAGAGAATTGGACACATCTTGTTGAACTGTGTTGTTGAACACTTGGTTGAAGTTCGGACCAAGCAACATACGGTTGTAGTATGAGAAGAGGTTGTATGACTGTAGGAGGGGAGAGAACTCTGAGAACTTTGGCTGGAGTTCTGGACGGCTTCTGTTCTAAGCTAGAAGACCGGACCCCACCTTGATGAACAGAGATAGGACTGAGGAACAGGGAGGAGATCAGGAGGTGGTGGGATGTAAAGTAAAGGGTAGAGAAGGATATTTATAAGAAAATTAGGAAGACAGGTGGAGGAGCTTCAGGCGTGGCCCTCCTCTCAAACTTTAGTTAATTCATAGCTCCATATAAAAGGCTGTGAGTTGATATGTAGATGTGACAGTCTGCACCTTAATAGTTCTATTTATTCATAATCCACTGAGCTGGAGTACAGAGCCAAAACTAAAACTGTGTCACTGTCCAGCTGCATACAGACTACTCTGTGTGAGCAATGATTACCACACATGTAGCTCACCTACATCAAAAGATGTGTAACTAGAAGTTCTCTTGTGGATACTGAAGTATTACAATCATCCAAATTACTTAAACAGTCTTGAGAGGAAGAGAACGCTTTTAAAATGCAGGTGTTGTACTACAGTATCAAATATGATGACCAGTGTTTCCCAGTCTTGGTCCTGGAGTGCCCCTATACTGCAGGTTTTAGTGTATTTCTTGCGTTATCACACCTTATCAGCTAAATAACAAGCCATGTTATAGTTCAAAGTCAAACAGAAATCAAAATAATGGACCATTTCTACCTTGTTAGTTCACATCCCTGCCCATATTAAGCACGATTCGTCATATAAAAGACAACATTTAATAGACAACACTCTTGTTTTCCTTAGAATATAATGACTTTCCCACCTCTAAATGTTCTCTCATCTTCAGTTACATCACCATGCACCAGCAAACGGGAAAAACAGCATGAATAATATTAATAATATCATGTTTCACCCCCCGCTTCCCACCACCTCCACCTCAGCTAGCTCAGAGACCCTCTCTGACACTGTGTTTAACTAAGAAATCCATGATAGTACAGTAGAAAAATATGCTGTTTTTTTCAGTTGACTTTAAAATGGGTGTGAGAGCACGGAAAACAACTAAAATCTGTTGAGCAGAGCTACTCCAGTTGGAAAGCGACTGGTTGAAAGCATCTCCCAAACTGAGAAAAACGTATTTAGATAGTGTAGAGTTTTATTTCTAGTTTTTTACTAGGACTCTTATTAGTGGGTGACGCCAAAGTAGCCACTTCAGATAAACTGTGTTGTGACTAGTTTACTCTCCAAAACTACTGACTAGAATTGGAGTTGCCAAGTTGTTTTTTTTTAATCTTTTCAGTTCTGTGAATTACTTTGTTGCCTGACTTTTCATGTCGCTCAAAGACAAGATCCTCACTCACTCGGGGAAGTGCCTTGACATTCAATTTTGTGACATCTCTTTTATGGCAATAGTTGAATCAAACTCTTGCCGCAGAAACAGACTCTGGGCCTTTGATCAATTTATAAGATGATTTGTCCTGAAGTGACTTCTGAAATGAATCCTTGCACTTCATTTGTCGGTTTATTTTTTAAAAAAGAATACATCATATGTTTTTTCTTCTTTTTTTTTCATCACTGAAGTCACAACATTTGAAGAAAGAGGGTCACATCTTTGGGATGGAGAGATTAGGACAATTCATAAAGGCTGGTTGATCTGAGTCCAGACGTGCATCTGCCAACATGTATTACATGGTGGTACTTCTACTTGTCTTAGAGTAACTTACTCGATATGTGCAATTTGAGCTGATGGATTCACCACATAGATCAACCTCAAATACAATCTAAGCCAATGGTTTGGAGTGATACTGCCTATAAATGTTTTTTTTTTTTTCCTTTCTTTTTTTGTTGTTGTTCTGTCAAGTACACAAAAAAAGTGTTATTTTCCAATCAGTTTACGAAAAGAGAATACATTTTTAAATTAATAATATGTGAATGTTTACAGTAAAGTTAATTTTGTTTTCTGTTTTATTCAACTGAGAAAAAAATAATGATTTGTGGGCATTTGGATTCTTTAAGATAAAAATAAAGCACAATAATTTTACAGCTTCTGGCCCTTTTGTCTTTGAAAGACAAACTCTCTATTAAACTCACTTTCTTACATCATAAACAAGTGGATATCCAAATATTTTGACATAGTTAACCAAAAAATTTATTTTGCCCTTAGCCTAACTGTAATCCATTAACCAATACATGTTTGATGTCTAAAGTTTGCTTCTTTAGGTTTGCTTATGTGGTTTTAAACTACTGCTACTGTTTTTCTCTTTGCTAATTAGATTTTAGGCCTCTACTACTGCTTTTAGCTATGCAACATACACTTTAGGCCACCACTGCTGTTTTTAGCTGTGCAACATACACTTTAGGCCACCACTACTGTTTTTAGCTCAGCAACATACACTTTAGGCCACCACTACTGTTTTTAGCTGTGCAACATACACTTTAGGCCACCACTACTGTTTTTAGCTCAGCAACATACACTTTAGGCCATTACTACGGTTTTTAGCTATGCGATTTGCACTTAAGGCCACTACTACTGTTTTCAGCTGTGCAACATACATTTTAGGCCACCACTACTGTTTTTAGGTACACAATGTTCATTTAGGCCACTCCTACTGCTTTTAGATGCAACATCCATTTTAGGCCACTACTACTGTTTTAGCTATGTGATGTCCATTAAGGCCTCTATTATGTTTTTTAGCTATGCAGCATCCATTTCAATCAGTACTAGGTATGCAAGTGTGTTTAGCTATGCAACATCCACTTTAGGCCATTACTACTGTATTTAGCTACTCAATATGCACTTTAGGTGACTCCAACTGCTTGAAGCTGTGCAACATCCACTTTAGGCCATTACTACACCCTTAAAAAAGATGGTTCTTCAAGGCTTCTTCAGTAGACAAAGGGACTCATTCAACAATATCTTCCTAAGTTTTGTCTTAAATGTGTTCTTGAGAAAGGTCCTAAAAAAAAGTCTATGTCAGATTCATGACGTGTTCTTAAATCGCAGAACTGTTCACACCTTTGTGCTCTTGAGTGTGTAGATTCTGTTCTTACCTAAGAACAAATCCCTAATAAGAAAACACTGATGAATGTCAGGATCTTCGTAAAAACTGCGTGAGTGGGTATTAAGTAGAAACTTCCTAGGAATGGTTGGTGAATGAGGCCCGTTGGTTCTATATAGAACCATGAACACTAAAATAACCATGTGCATGCTTAAATGGTTCTACAGGTTGATGGAGAATGTGTTTATATGGCTCTGTACAGAACCTTTTTTGAAAAGGGTTCTATATAGCACCAAAAGTGCTATATAGCTATATAGCTAAAGCTATTGTTACAAGCCTGACATTGTGGCAAGGGTTCTTTAGTAAAGGGAATGGTTCTATTTAGAACCATGATTTCATGCTTAAATGGTTCTTTACAGTGTGAAATCGTTCTTCAAATTGATGGAGAACGTTTTGTATATGTAGAACCTTTTTGAAAACGGTTCTATATAGCGCCAAAAGAATTCTGCTATGGCTACGATATCAAGCTTGTAACAACAGAGGAACCCTTTTTAGTGCTTTATAGAACCATTTTCACAAAGGTTCTGTACAGAAACACATACAACACATTCTCCATCAATCTGAAGAACCATTTCACTACGCAAACAAGCCTCTAAGCACCCAAATGGTTCTTTCAGTTCTGTATAGAACCATTGTGTTTACTAAGGAACTCTTGAAGAACCCTCATTTTTAGGAGTGTACCGGTTTTAGCCATGCGGCATCCATTTTAGGCCACTACTACTGTTTTAGCTACCCAACATCCTTTGTTAGCCACTACTACTGTTTTTAGCTATGCGTCGTTCACTTTAGGCCACTATACTGTTTTTAGCAGTAGTTGAAGAAACAAACTTCGGACACCAAACATGTCTTGGCTGATCTATTATAGTTTGGGCAAAGGGAAGATTGTGTAAACTTGATTTCTCAGCTAACAATTCCTTTAACCTTTCATAAACAAGCTCTCCATGATATCCAAATGTTAACTCCTGGGTGGAAACCTGCGCAGTGAGCAGCCGAGTGCAGCGTTCTGTGTTTTTATGGTGGAGAATAATGGTGGGATCTCCACTCCTCCTCTGGAGAGGATGCACCTGGAAACCTCACAAAAGAGCACATACAGCACATTGTCCTCATCGATTCAACGGCACTAAAGCCGAGACATACAGAACAGACAGCATCAACCCTTTTGCCGTTCGAATTGAGGGTCTGCTGTCCTCTAACACCTAAAAATTACTATATAAGACGCTCCAAAGTAGTGTGGTCTTAGAAGGTTGTGAACTGCTGCCTCCAACCTTATTCATATGCACATATGCACATCAAAAACAATCAGTGCACGCTTGTTTGTTATTCAGATGAGGTGCTAATACAAGGGGGCTTGTTAAAACATCAAGGCGGTGGAAGGAAATGCAACAAAACCCATTTGATAACAGTAAATGGGCCAGACGTTCAGACGCGAGACCAGGATGTAGATGTGCTCTGTGAAGGATTTACAGAGACTAAAGTCTGGCTACTCATCTGGCTCTGAAACCACACAGAGAGAAATATGAAGCTCTAACAGCATTTAAACTGAAAAATAAACAATAAACAATTACAAATAACCAAAGCATGAACTGTGGACGAAAGGGACAGCACAGGTCAGGCGAAATAACTCTAAACTGCTACAAAATAAAAGTCAGTCACTGCAAGTGTATAGTAAATTGTGTGAAGTCATTGAATTCATACCTCAGTTGTGTGCAAGTTTGTGCACCCCTTGTCAAATGACGTTTTGATTTTCTGAAAATAAGTTACCCATTCACTAGACAACACACTTCTGCACACTTTAATACACAATTACTGTTTGTTTGCTGAATTTTGCATATTGAAAAAAATGTGGCCTGTTTTTCTTCAATGTCAAGCTCAGCAAATAAACAGTAATTGTGTATTAAAAATGCCTTATTTGATGCTTGAATTTAGCATTTTGAAGCAAATTAAAAACTCACAGTGAGAACTATATCTATAGCTATCTATCTATATCTTTATATATATATACACACATATACATGGTACTCAGTCCGTCCTTGTTAGTCAGTTCAGTGAATTTAGCTAGTGTTAGCTCTCAAAATTTTCTTGCTAAAGTCAAATATATTTAAAATAATATTTTTGTCAGATGTCCTTGTTTTTGGAATTATTGTGCAGAATCGACTCCAACATATCCAGTCACTTGGATTTGGAAGAGCTGACTTCAAACTTCAGGAATCGAATAGCGCTTGAGATGTATTTTTGATTTATAATTTATTGTTTATGGGCGCAACAGTACAATATCACCCCCAACGTTTCCTGTAGTGTATTGCAGTCTGTTGGAATGACCGTGTGCATCATATGAATCTACTATAAATTATTCAGAAACTACTATGAAACTTTTATGAAAGGTTTATTCTGCTGTTACACAGCTAATGGTGATGGCTAAGTAGGTGAAGCAGGTGAGAAATCACCTAACTGGAGAGCTGTGGCCACATGCTGTGTTTGACACGTTACAAAATTATTTTCTGCACTTTCAAGTTACAAAGTGGGAAAAACATGAAATGGAAACACACTAGCTAGCAAACACTGATATGAGTGATTACTTTAATGTTCGTGATGCAGTTACCTTCGACAGTGAACTTTATGGTCAGTGTTATAGTTTTACCAACTACTGTATCTGCATGTTGACTGATCTAAATCGAATCTCGTTCAAAAGTAGTGAAAGTACCATCCTGACTTTCTGAGGAGGAATTCCCAGCTAAGGGGCCATTTTCTTTGATTTTTTTTTTCTTTTGGAGGTGAGGAATTACAATTTACAAGCTTTGGTTGAAAGCAGCAATACAGAACAGAATCTGAAACCCCTGATCCAGAACATTAACATTTACCAGGTGTTCTTAGAGGTGACATCAGTTCAATACACAGAAAAGCAACGCAGTGAGTTTAAAAATGTTTTACTCCAGAAAAGAAAACATGTAAACAGTATAAATTTGCCAATCATGCATATAAATTGAATACATGGGGAAAGGTCTCATTTCTAGCATGTTTCAAAATGTGTCAGACTAAAAGAAAATCAACATTGAGTTATCAATAAAAACAAAAAAGCTACAGCCTTTTCCTTTTACATTTATTGGGTAAAACAGCCTAAGAAAATTAAATAGACTAACTGTTCCTAATTTCTGTTAGGGCAGAGCAAAACGTTCTAAATGTTGCAACTCAATCCCCCCCCCAAAAAAGTCAAAACTACATATAAAAAGTGATGATAAAAGAAACAATGAAACAACATGATCATAGTCCAAAGGCTGAGCCTAGCTATACGTCAAGTTAAAACACAGGACATGAGTTTGTGGACCGAGACAAATCAAATAAAAACATTGATGCTGTCTATTGTGGCTGCTGTACATCGGAGGCCACAGACTTAAAAGTTCCTAATGGTTGACGATACAGAAACATGGTCCAAGAATTTAGCTACCTCTCTGCAAGACGATGGTTCTCTCTCCATCTTCAGCAGAACTGCAAGCAGAAACAGTGTGAGAAACAGTGAGCAGATCAACACGTTTTTAGAACGTCTGTGAAAAGGAGAACGTGATGTGGTTTACAAAAATGATAAAAAGGAATGAAATCTCACCTTCCATCTATTACCACATTCATTGCAGAAAACAAATGTGGTCATCGGCTCATCAGCACTTCGAGTCTGAACCTGAATAAAGTACAGGATGTATAAGACTTAAAGCCAGAACACAGAGGAACAGACTGTGCTTACTAAATAGTCACCATCAATAAGCAAATGCTAGAGCAGGTAAAGCCTGTCCTGTTTTACACAGGTCTGAAATGTATATTTGTGTGGTTGGGAATAAAACAAAGGAATAAACTGCGCATTAGAACTGAATCAAAGCAATGTTGAAGCACAAGGAGATATGTCAAGTTATGCAAAACGTGCCCTTGTTTATTCACAACACTGTAAAATATTTTAGAAACTGTTAAAATGGGACAAAAATACTGTGGCTGTCAACATACTTTGGGGGTAGCCCATGTGTGGGAAACAGTGCCATCACTGAAGCCCTATTAAGTTAAGGATGGGTCTGATATAGAAATGGAACCAATACAACACCCAGTACTGTACTGAGCAACAGCCTAACGCTACCACAAGAACAACTGAGTAAACAAGTCAATATCGTGTTATTTTCAAAATACATCATGGTATCATGGCTTGAGAGGATGTTAACTAACTTACTGCTTAGTTAATTGTTCTGAATTTTCAACTGAAACCAATCTCTCAGTAAATTACATACATTGCAGTTAACTGTGAGATCATGAGTACAATGTGGAAAGTGCACAAAAAAAGATTTCAAAAAATAATAATAAAAAAAAGTCACAGCTATTTTATGGACATTATACTGTTTCATGCATGTAAAGTTTGTTATCCATCAAAGAGTTGTATGCAATTTTTTTTGGCACTTCTGGTCAAATTACATGTTCTGTTCATTTTCTGAATGAAAAGTTTACACACCCTTTACAGAGAACACACTTCTACATATTTTAATGCACCGTTACTGTTTATTTGCTGAATTTAACATTTTGGAAAAGAAAACATAGAACGGGAACTGTGCAAACATTTTGGCACATTTATATTTTGTGCTTTGTTTTTTTTGAAATGTGAAATTCTGCAAATAAATAAAAATTGTGCACTAATTCTTGAAGAAAAATAGAACAAAACTAGTTTGTCACTTTCATTAAAAAATAAATAAGGGCGTTCAAACTTACTGCTAAAAATATCACAAACTGTAAAACACTATCAAGGTGTTTCAATCACAGTATACCAGTATAAATGATACATCGACAAAGACTATTATATTCTATACCAAAATTACAATTTTTTCATTTTACATCTCATTTTGCACACATTTGCACTGCAAACAGTATTTCTTTCTTTATTTCTGTCTTTATTTATAGGTTGTGTATAAAAGTTTAACTGAAAAAAGTTGTATAAGTTGTATATGTTGTTGGCTATGTATTTCTTATTATAGTAGCACAACTAAAAAAAACTAATTTTAAAGCTTAGTATCCTGCATTAGTGTCAGATTAGAACAGAGGTGTTGTGCCATCTGTAGTCCGACACAGCGGCTGAATCTAGGCCTAACTAGAAGTGTACACGAGTACCTTTAGCTTAGCTACAGCTACAGTAAACTGCTGTGCAGACGTACCTGTGTGTAGGTGCAGTTGTGCTTTTTGCATTTCCCGCAGGTGAACAGGTCAGTCTGGGTGCCTCCAGTTTTGGCCATCTGGTGGTCCCTGATAGCCTCTTTGGTCAGATTCTTCCGCATCTCTTTCAGTTCATCGCTGGCCATTTCCTGTCAAAATTCACACTTCGTCATCACAGCTCAAAAGCTTCACAGCCATAAAAAACAGAACATGCGGCGAAACGTGTGTTTTAAGATGACAAAAACAACAACAGTTAAGGAAATTTTCCACTGAAATAAGCAGACATTCTCACCTCTGCGGTCATTTTGGCTATGCGGTTTGGAGGCACGTTGCCACAAAGTACATTCCTCCTCAGGTTGGGGTTCTTGGCATCTTTAAGATTTGAGATTCGGCTTCGGATGCGGTTCTTGTATTTCATGTCGGTGTTCTTGAATTCCAGGAAGATACGTGTCAGTTGGTCAAGGAGTTGCCAAAAACATCATAAGCATAATGCAAATTCTACATAGTAACCATTAAAGACGCACTGCGGTGACAAACGCTTGAATTACAGGACATCATTGGAACTTTCATTGCATTTAGAGGGAGACCTGCATACAGTGCAGCATGTCATGACAAGTTATGTTTTACTGTGTCCTAAAGCCCCAAGAAATGGCTACAACATGTCAAGATGAAGACAATAACAGTCACAGAGCTTTCTTCAGCATGTACGAGCCTTGGCTGTACGCATATGAGACTACGGTGTGCGGTTTTAGTTAGAAACTTTGTTCTTAGCCTGAAACCATGTAATATGCTTTATAAGCAGCCTTTCATCATTCTATTAACCACTAGCATAAAACTAATTTTCACCAACATCCCTATGGAAATATGAAGTGTTGTTAGCGACAAGTAAGCAGTGTTCTATATTCGCATTTGATGCCAATTCTAGCTTAAACACAGGCATGTGAAGCTTGTAACAACCATACAAGTAACATAGTCTTGATTCTGTCATTTTTTACTGCGACTCTTTCTTTAAAGTTCTGAATCTGAAGCCTTCTTATTGAAGCAGCCTTGTCACCAGTTACAAAAATACAAAGTGCGAAACCCTGTGACGTTCACCTGGCAATGCTTCACTTATTTTTTTACAGTTTTTACAGACACAGACCTCAGCTATAACACGCTTTTTCAGAGTTTTCTCACCTGAAGGAATATTTTAAGCAGCACCCACTGCATTTGGGACAAAGAAAAACTCAGCGTGCAGTGTGACGTAAGCTCAGAGAAAAAATGTTTTAAAAACATGCAGATTTTAGTACTTGGACCACTAAATGTTTTTTAAATCAGTTTCTGACAGAATGTCACTACACCTAACAGATTAACTTTGACACTGGAGTTCATCTTTATGTCTGATGTCTTAAGTTTGATTCTGTAGTTAGCACAGAGATTTGCTGCATTTGTGGCACATGTGTGATGATCTAGGCACGCAGCTTTCATGGTGCTAACTGGCTTAAAGCATCTTAGCTGATTAGCTACAGGGTACAGGACTAGACAGACAAAAAATGAAATTTGATTTTTTTACAGAACTATTCCTTTGAAAACTGCTCTCCACAGAATGCTCAAGAAAAGGATATATTCCTCAATTTGTGCGCCAAGTTCATCACAGTCAGCCCCAATGGCGATGTAGTCATCTAATCAGTAAGAGAGTAGAAGGAAAGTCATGCATATGAACAGTGAGAAATGACATTAGCATAAACCTGTGAAACAACTGGTTAAACATTGTGAATACAGCTGTTACATTAAGTTGCACAATTTAGGTGTCATAAAACATACATTTACTCCTCACTCATTTCAACTGTCTGATCTGATCTACAATTTGTCAGTGGGAAAAAATATCACTAGCATTAACAGCAAAACATCGTGTTAAAGGCACTGCTAGCATTTTAGCAAATATTGTTATGTTCAATTGCTTGTGTGATTAAATATGGCATGGATTGAGCTGTTCATTTACGCAAAGTTTCTTTATTATTAATCTTTAACATGCAGCCAAAAAAATGCATGTACAACTGTGTGCAAAAGTTCACTCTTCTGGTGAAATTACATGTTTTGTTTTTTGTAGGTAACACATCTACAGAGAACTTAAATATGGCATTTTTCTGCACACTGTAGTGCACAATTTCTATTTATTTGCTGAATTTAATGTATCAGAAAATTAAACATACAATATGAAATGTGCCATAATTGTTGCGAGAAACACATTTAACGTTACGCCCTCAATATGTTAAATTTGGAATATAAACAGTAATTGTGCATTAAAATGTGCAAAGTTGTGTTCTCTGTAGAGGATGTGTTACTTATTTTCACTTAGGAAGTCAACAAAACATGTAATTTGACTAGGGGTGCCCAAACTTTTACAACTGTACCACCTTAAATAAATGTTTATCTACAAATAATGCAAATGAGAAATATGGTGAACCCCACGTTTTAATTGTGGCAACAGACCAATGCTCTTGTATGCATACACAAAGTGAAAAACTAGAATAATGCTAATAATCATAATAATAATCATAACTGCATGTCTTTCTTATTGCTTGGAAATCAGTGATGAGTTACTGGTCATAATGGTGGCGGCTGAATGCTTTTCAAACTGTAAAAACCCACTACTGTCATCTTATAACATTTAGTTCACCTCAAATGAAATATGACGTGAAATATCACGTGAAATATGAGGTTAGTCAGTAAAGGACTCTTCCTGATCTACCTATTACATGTAGTAGGAAAAAAAAAGTGTGTGTACAGTCATATGAGCCATCACAACTTGCCTCCAGTCTGAAGAGCACTGGACAGCATCTCCCTACACTTCAGACGCACTGAGTCAGATGTGCCTGGCGCTCGAGGGAACGTGGAAATCAGCGTGTTGGGCGTCACTTCAGCAGAGTCACTCCTACTACTGGAATTACTGCTGGAGCTGCAAAACGTAAATAAAGAAGGGAGACACCAAGAGTTAGAGCATAGCACAGAAAAAGACAAAAATACACAGTCAAGCAGATATAAAGATCAAAATGGAATGCTCACAGGTTGAATTCCAGAATGTTAAGAGTGATAAGAGAGAAGAAGAAAAACACAACAATGCTGCCATGTCACAGTCTACAAGCCTGATCTTGTGCTGTGTTTTCACATAACTGCCATGACAATTTCTATGCCGAATCAAATCCATTAAATGATTTTTGCACTTTTTAAAAGCTGCAATGCCAGTTTATCTGGCATATCAAAGCCATAAAAAGATCCCCTAAACTGGGCCAAAATACTAATAAATCAAACAATGGAAAAATGCTGTGTTATTACGTTTTATTATCACATACATACACTTGAATCCTATGGAGTACAGAAAACTGAACCATTAAACATTATACCTGCGTTATTGTGAACAAAAGCATGATTCTTAAAGATGCCGTGTTTACCTTTCCTCTCTGGGCTCGGGGCTATCCTGGGATGGAGACACGACAGGTGCTGCAGGTTCCTTCTTCTTCTCCTCAGAGTTTTTGTCTCCACTAGAAGGCTCGTCTATATGGCAAGTAACATTCATGAACCAGCTGTACTCTAAGCAAAGTGTATATAATTGAAGTAACTTATCTGTTACCTTATACTAGCTTTTAACTTACCCAACAGCTTCTTCCAGGATTTAATAAGAGACTTGGCCAGTGAGGTCACCTCCTCGTCTGTGCTCTGCTTGCGGATAGCGTTCACCGACATTCCAATGCGGGTGGACTGTGAAAAGAAAGCAAAGATGTCCAATCTGATCTGTCCAAGCCAAACAGTGCAAGTTGTGACCTAACCTTATTTCAGCTAAATGTAAAAAATATAACTCATCTTCATTAAGCTGTAAAAATCTGATTTGTTCTTTAGTTTCAATCCAACAAACCTCTGAGGACTCATGTATAAAACAAACCTGAGTTTCATCCTAAATGTGTTATTGAAATAAGTTCTCAGCACTTGCGTATGAGCCATTTATAAAAACAGCGTTCACGAATCGCATACTCTAACGCCTGTAACACAAACTGCAGTTTGTTCAACAGGTTGGGAACTCACATTCATCTACGCACATTTTTATAAATCACTACTCTGACATGGATTTCCACATTCAATCATTTAAAATCAAATCTCTGCATGCAAATGTTTTAAAAATGAGGGCCCTGCAGACCTGCCAACCTTGGGAAAATATTTTGCAAAGCAGAATAGTAACACATACCAAAAAAAAATAAATAAATAAATAAAAATTTTAAACAAATACTCTGCTAAACAAATGGTCATTTCCCCACTCGCCACCATATAATCATTCGCGATTATTCAACGGAGCCTGCTGCTCTCTCTCTCTTCCTGCCGGTGTCCCCCTCATCTGACGTCATGTTTATTTTAACTGTAAGGCGCGCACATACACACGCACACACACACACCTCGAAGTAACTCTCTAAGTAATGTTAATTCTGTGGCACATGCACTCACTTTTTTCCAACCCGCCATGATCTGCTCTTCTCATTACGGTTACAAGTTGCAATAGTAATGAATACAACAATGTATGAATACAACACTGTGAAAAGTCACATTTAACAATTTACAACATACAGACAATATGATTGAACGTTACTTTGCCAACATAAATGTCTGGTGAACAAGCAAGCTAGCTTTCAAATGACACAATATTAGGCTAACGTTATTAGCATGAAATATTTTCCCCAAGGTTGGTGGGTCTGCGTTAAGTTAGCTAACTCAATTCACTATTTCAACTTTCCACATCCACTCCAACCCGTTTACCATCACAAAGGAGTTAAAAGCACCGTCCTCCCTTGTCGAACCAGCGAACAAGACGGATAAAAACCACAGTGTTGCCATTGTTTTGCAGTCTCTTGAAATGAAGGACATTACGCATTTGTCATGATTGGTCGAACTATTCTTCTACTTTTGCTTTTCGGAAGGCCAGACGCTGCTGCTTCTTGCTGTTAGATTTGAGTACCGCACGTGCACAACTGAACTCACAGGCATCATCAGCTTTTTGTGTAGTTTAGAGTGACAAATCAGATCAGCATACTTTGATGTTAAAATGCATACTTGCTATGCAAAATGCATCAAGGTTGGCAGGTCTGCTCCTGGTGTTCGGTTGATGCGAGTTTAAATTTTTTTCCATAGTATTGAGTACTATCTGTGATACTACATTTGGTATTAGTATTGAAATCAGAATTCTGGTGTAACGACAACCCTAATGTCTACAAAGACACAGTACCTGTAAAAGCTCCAGGGTCATGGGTATATTCTTGAGCTCCTTGAGGAGATCCAGCGCCCCTGACTGAATGAAAGACACTCGAGTTAATAAAAAACAGCCCATGGTGATTAAAATTACAGTTGAGAACACAAGCAATTATCTGACCATAATTAAGTCAGGTAATTACTGAAGGGAGTGCTGCTTGTGCTCTTGCCAACACAGAACACCAAACGCCCATCAGCATCACTGCCACATTTAGAGATGCTTTGAGACTCAAATGAAATTACGCTGCTGAGCAAGAAATGTAAACAAATAATGTCGCTTTTCTGGTTTGTATACAGACTTCATGTACGTACCTATCCCATTCAGACTACAGAAAGGGATTCGTGCCAAATTAAAAAAAAACAATCACAGCAGCAGAAAAACGTGAAATGCAATGCACAGATCACATTACTTTTCCACAGTGACATGCAGAACAGGTGCTAAAAAGAAAAAACCTCTACTACACTGTTTTCATGCCACTTGACCTCAAACATTGCATGAGGATTTGCATTTTAAAAACAAAATGCTGAATTTTTGTCAAAACTGAATGGAACCCACCTTGAATGCAATAAAGGCATAACTATACAGCTTTCTACTATGCAGAACTTAAAACAACTTTAAAACAATATAACGGACTTCGAGAGCCAGTGTCCAGCAGAGTCTGGCGATTTGCCTGTTCAAGCACACCTGATTACACCCATGTGTTCATTGTCAGGTTTAGTGGGTGTGTTTGAGTAGAGCAACTACCAAACTGTGCTGGACGCCGGCCCTCCAGGACTGGAGTTGTACACACATGGTTTAAATGCAAGCTTGTGTCTCTTGTTTTGGTTGCGTTTTAATGAGGAAAATACATTTAAAGTACAAAAAAAGAAGTCCAGTAAGTGAAAACACTGTAGTAAAAGTTATGTTTTTCACTTTGGCATGTATTCTGCATGTCACCTGTGGAAAATAAAATGTCATGTGTGCATTGCATTTTACTGTTATGAGTGCATTTAAGTGGGGAAATCTGTTTAAAGTACTGCACAGCACTTTAATGTGGACTGCATTCAATTTTGACATTAATTCAGCATTTCTTGTTTTAAATGCAAATCCTCATGCACTGTTTTTCAGTAACGCAACATGAAAACAGCGTAATAGAACTTTGTTTTTCTTTTTTTGGTACATATTCTACTTTACTTATAGTGACATGCAATGGCATAACTGCACTGCATTTTAGGTTCCACTGTAGTGACTGATTTTCAATTTAGCACAAATTCCTCTCCGTACACACTGCGCCCCTCCAACTAGGGGTACTAATTTTGCAAGGAATTGTTTAAGTGCATCACATAACACTAAACCTTAAGTTAGCAGATAGACTCGCTGTCTGCCTTCGGGGCAGATCTCAGGGGCTGTACCGCAAAGAAAGCTTCGTTAGTTTTTAGCTTAGCTGACGTTAGCTTGCTATCCGGGTACGAGTTAGCTTAGCATCGCTAGTCTGGCACTAATGCACAAACTGTAGCTTTCTAACTTCTTATCAACATAAGTCGCCTTCAACTACGAAACCATGAGGCTAAATAACCGTGCAGCGTATCGACCAAACCTATCTCTGCCATCCTTCACTTCACTGTATTGTGTAGGCTAGTTAACTAGCACTCTGGCTAGCTAAATAATTAGCCAGCACAGTAAATACAACGATTTGTCTTAAAATATATCTGAGCTTAATTAAAAGAACCTAGAAAGAACCAAGCTAACCTGCTCTAGGCACTTTAGCTAGTGCTAACTATCAAGCAAAGTGTTAGTTTAAACCTGTTTTAGAAAAGATGTAAGTTAAATTACAACGGTAGTAGACAGGCTAATATCTTGCGGCTACTCCAAGTTAGCTTCGGGGGTAAAGTCAGCTCCTTATTTCCGTTCCACCTTAAATGGTGCTGGTGCCTCCATTCCGTTGCACTATTTAAGGTGGAACGGAAAAGTCGAATAAGCAACCCTCAGCTACCCAACCGCTGGCGAAAGCGTTAGCATCACCATTAGCTTTATCTGTAATGTTACCATTAGCTCGCCGTTAGCTTTAGTGCTACTCCGTTAGCATTGGCTAGCTGGGCTAACGCTAGCTGCCCGAGTGTTTGTGTTGGCAGTTCATTCATGTCACCTCACCCCGTTCTTCTTCTGCGCCATTTTATCCATCTTCTTAGCGATCCGGATAATCTCCTCCTCTTCTTTCTTACCCATTGTGGTTAGTTTTGTTCACGGATACGGACTTAAAACGGCCTTAAGTGATTAAATGTCTCTCCCGCCTTCAGCGCGCTCTGACTGACTGACCGGCAGCTCGCCGACCGCAGCGGGCAGAAGGCGCAGGCGCGGCTAATCGAGCTCAGCAGAGAGAGAGAGAAGCGGCGGAGCGCAGAAACTTCCAGCGACAGATACGACAAACAGAGAGCAGCAGTTCTGCTCACAGACCGCTTACGAGGCTGAGTTTTTAGGCTGTTAATTCCTAAGGCGCTAAATCCAAACCACACATTCACATACAAAGTCTTCTCAACATTACCGAGCGCGACGGAAATCTACACACACTGCCTGACAGACAGAGCGAAATCTAACGAAATCATCTGGTTTATTCAGAATTTAAATTCTAATTCCTTTCGACTATTTCAAGCACATTTCTACCACATGTGTATGTAAAAATAAGACCAATAACACAGAATTTGCGTTTTACTTCATTTAATACGTGCTTAAAGGGGAACTCCACCGTGTTTTCAAAATTCCACATAATTATAAGGTTGAGATGTAAACAGTCATAAAGAGTGGTTTAGTGTGAAATGCTCCGTTTTAGAGAAACTTACTGAGTCAGAATTATTCACAATGGTGGTGACAAGAACCAGATGTTCACCTATTAAAACTCCCTCACAGAAAGTTATTACATTAAATGGTTATCTGCCTGATGTCTGATACATTGTTTTATAATAGTTTTGTGATAAAGTTTTGACTTAGAATGTTTTAATCCATTTATTGTTATTCATTAACGGCGGAGAGGTGCACATAGGACGTTGTGAGGCATAATAGTCCTCAAAGAAAACATGTTTTTTCGGTTTCTTCACTATTTTACCATCATCAGCATTTCATACAAAAGGTAGATTCACTGGTGGTTTTGGAGTAAATGAAATGGTTATATTTCTGTTGTAAATATCTTGACCACTGGTTTCTGTCAACACCGCTGTAAAGAAATCTAGGTCTGTAAGTTTCTCTACAATGAATCACTTCACATCAAATCACTCTGAATGACTGTTTACATCTCAAGGACTGAGTTATTGGGAAATGTTAAAGAAATTGGTTGAATTCCCCTTTAAAACTATGTGGTTTAGACGGGCCAGTTCTAACCAAAATATATATGGGAGCCACCTAGCGTTCAAACTGAGTAACGCATCATCACTTTGTTTCGATTTCTCTTACCTATTGTTAAATAACATTACGTTAGATTGAGGGTGCCCAAACTTTTGTTTTGGGGGGGTACGGGGTGGGGGGTGGGGGGTGGGGGGTAGGGGGGCTTTGTGCAATTCTTGTGGTGGGCTAAAAAAACAAACAATATCCAAATAAAGAAGGAAGGTTTGTTTCAAAAATGTCTCACGCTCTTTTGTGTTACTTCAAAAATATAATTTCAGAAAATAAGAATTTAATACGGCATGTATAGTATTCTCTATAGTATTCACAGAGTGAGAGAGAAGCCTTGTTGTACATGTTTGTGTTATGCTGTTTTTTCATTCCTTTCACCAATTACATGTTTCCAAATGTGAACTTGACATGTTTCTCATATGAGTCTGAAGTGGTGTGGGGGGGGGGTCTATGTATGTATGTATGTATGTATGTGTGTATGTATGAACGTATGTAAGTTACGTAATATGACAGAACTGTTGAAATATTTTATCCTGCTCTGTGTTAAGAAAAATGCATGTGACAGGATATAAAAGGAATTTGCGTTCAGGGATGGCATTTAACCATTTTCATAATTCATATATTTTTGTTTTCAAATAAAACTCTCCCAAAGAGTAACTCATTTCTTTTGAGTCATTCATGCAGCTCCACTCTTCTTTAGCAGCTCTGGTTTGAGTAGTTTGAGTCAGTGATCTCCTCACCTGCTCACAGCCTGCACTGGATACCACAAAGCAGGGCTATTCCAGTAAGTTCATTCACATTTTATTCTACTTTAACCAAAAACATTACATTAAATAGCAGTATTTAGTGCAAAAATTTTGAATTTGTAGGTAGCCTTTTTGTCTATTAGCATGATGCTAATTTTCCCTACCACATTCATTGATATATTCTACATTATGTTAGCATAGGCTAATGGTAATGTATTTATGCTGGATTTACTATTACTTATGGCTGCTTTGACATGCGAAGCTTTTAAGGCATACACATAACATATTCTTTACTTAGTTTGTTGAATTTTTACAGTGAATCATGTAAATATTTGAATTATATCTGAATATTAGTGGAGAGGACTGTTAAGTTGATTTGGAAACTGTTACAGAGAACGTGTAGAGAGGAGAATTACCTCTCTGTGGGGTCTTCTGGGTTTCTCAAACGGTGGGTTAAGATGGAGCATTTGAGCAAAAACACTGTTTATAAATGCTTAGTCATTTTTAATATGAAAAAATGCATTAATGTCCTAAACACAGAACAGCATAAGTGAAATACATCCTTCTACTTTCTAAAATTAAAGGAAGGTTCTGGGCAAGTAATTAGAAACTATTTTAACTTTTCGTTTTTAGCAGTTTAGCTCCCTTCACCCCCATTCATTGAACACTTGGTTGTGGGAACCCTCTGGCGTTTTGCAGTCATGTTTTTGATAGAACAGGAGAAATAGCTCCTCATAAACCTGCTCTGACTGTTAAGTTAGCTTGCTTAATGTACTTAAATGTTTGGAATATAGTTTGAAAGGAAACAATGTAGTTAAAACGTGGCTCTCAAATGAAAAAATACATGGCTGTTTGTTTTTTTGCCATTTGAGAAGGCTATAAGAACTGTATTTCTCTGAACGCTTCATCTGAGGTGCAAGCTTTAGTTAACATGTAAAGAAGTAATGATATTTTTTGGCTAGTAAAAATCAGCCTGAAAGACCAACCACTGTCTAATTTGACTGTAAACTAATCATGTTGGAATCAACCATAAACATTTATGATCAGTGTATCCCTGTTATGTGTGTATGTATGTATGTATGCATCTATCTATCTATCTATCTCATCTATCTATCTATCTATCTATCTATCTATCTATCTATCTATCTATCTATCTATCTGTCTGTCTATCTGTCTATCTAGTTATGGTCATGTGCAAAAGTTTGAGCACCCCTGGTCAAACTACATGTTTTGTTGATTTGAAAATAAGTTGCACATCATTTACAGGGAACAAACATAAATGACATTTTCTGCAAATTTTAGTGCACAATGTCTATTTATTTGCTAAGTTTAACATGTTGGAGAAAATTAAACATAAGAAATGTGCCATCATTTTTGTACAGAACACGTTGTATGGTTTTTTTTTTCCCCAATATGTTAAATTTGGCAAGGAACAGTTATTATGCATTGTACATCTGTATATATCTATCTATCCATATGTTCAAAATAGTAACAGTTTGGCAGTAATGTGTACAAACACAATGATGCCAGTAAAGCCTTTTGAAATAAACTGAAGGGAAACATGGATGACCATGACCTCTCTGTAAACTGTGCATGCCACCCCTTTAAACCACCTGCAGCGCTAATCTCCACCCCACGCTGCCAGTACTCTAAAGTGGAATCTCACTGGAGGCAGCACGGAGAGCCGTGACTTTACTGGCACCACAACACAAACGCATCGTCTTGCCTTTATGCTTTAGGCGTATCATAGAATAACAACTGAACACATGATCCACGTCAAAGCCTTATTCTATACCACAGCACTTTATCAAGAGAACACGTTAGACCCTCTCAGGTCACATCCTCAGTGCTACGTCACAGATTAGCATGTTTCCAGAGTAACATTAAACCTGCTGTAACACAGTGAAATTTCTGTGTTCCACTGTGAACCTCTGCCAGTAATGATATTCCTGCTGTTCTCCCACAGACTCCGTTAGTCTCCCACTGTGAGGCACATGCTTTATCTACTGAGACTCTCTTATTGTCAGCTGCAGCATAAACCCTCACTACCTCTCCCCACTCTAATCCTTATTAGCACACTGCTCAAATCTGATTACATCTCTTCAAGAAACAAGAAACACCCCAGCCATCTGCCTACTGTCACACACATTGGACAAGAGATACTGCATTCTCCATTTGATCTGAATGAAAATAAAAGCCAAAGTACGATGAAATATGAAGTACGCCAGTACGGCTGGCTGTTCAGGGAGTAACATGTGGAAGGCAGAATGATGTTTTTGGGCTGAAAATGTTGGCACAGTGAGATATCAGTCGTTCCTGAATGAGTTGTGATAACTAATTTATACTGCAGATGTCATAAGACTTTAATTTTGGAAAGTTTGGGGATCAAAATGATTGAATTTAGTCTGAGAAGAGAAGCAATATAAGCTAATATTTAAACAAATAATATTTTAACTGTCTTATGGCCTTCAATACTGGAATTTATCTGGGGCTATACCTTTAAATAGAAACTTTCCCATATTCCCAGTATATTACCTTCTTTAAAGTGCTGATTAACCATGAGCAAAGATTACGCAAATTAACTGTGATGCCGACCATCCAAAAATAGCCACGTGAGTGTCGTTGATAAGCTTTTCAGTGGCTGGACTACTGGCTCTCCGCTTCCACGCCAGGATCACCTTGCAGAAAATGTGAAATAAGGTAAGATACTTTACTTACAACTTCGTACTTGTACCCAATATCAGTGACAGTAAATACATGTAAAGCAAATATGAATGTTGTGCAGTCTAATGTATAAAGTAATGTACAAAAAAACCTAATGCTGACAGTTAGCTGTTGTACATTGAGCTTAGGTTCCTCCCTCCCTCCTGCCACATTGTTGAGATTTAAATTTATTTCATTGACATTTAATTTATAAACATGAACTTGTCTTCATGAAAGTATATGATGAACAAAAGAGCTACTAAAACTAATTTGGTGTGTTTATTCCAAAGCAGGTACTATAATACCTGACAATGGAATAGTTCAGTTTTTGTCATAATTGACTCAGGAATGTGGGATTTAGTATTTTTAGTTAAGGTCTGAGGAATTTTTGTGATTACATACACATTTAAAATGGTTCTTTAAGGACTCTTTGGTAAAGGCAATGGTTTTATATAGAACCGTGAACACTCAAAGAACCATTTCAGTGCATCTCTGTAATGGAAAACATGATGTAAATGATACTTTTAAGAAACTTTTATTTCACCGTTTTTGATACTAGAACCATTACTTTTTGCTAGAATAGCACTGAAGAAGCTTGAGTTATGAACATGAGTATGTTGATCACAGTAAAGTTAAATATACTGTAACTGTATCCACAATAGTGCCTAAAATGGACATTTTTGGGAAAGTAAACAAAGAATATTTCTCTTTTATAATCATTTTTCTTTTCATACAGTGTTTCCACTTTACCATGAGTGCCCCTCCCCATAATGACACACTACAGCCAGGTGTGTTCTCGGGGAGTGCGCAGACGCCAGCCTCCAGACCACCAGCGTCCTCCAGAGAGCTCAGGGCCTCGAAGAGAGTTTGTTTTTACAAGAGCGGCGACCCTCAGTTCTCTGGACATCGGATAGTCATCAACAGTCGCACCTTTAAGACTTTTGACGCTCTGCTGGATGCTCTTTCCAAGAAAGTGCCTCTACCATTTGGTGTACGCACCATCACAACACCCAAAGGTACACACGCCGTCCAGAGCTTAGACGACTTGCGTGATGGGGCCTCATACGTGTGCTCGGACCAAAGAAGGGTCAAACCCCTCAACTTGGACGAGGTCAACCGGAGACAAGTGCCCTGGAACACTACCAGACTCACTAGCTCAGGACGACAGGGACGCAGAGGGCTGATTCGGCAGCTAGTGAAGAAGAATGAAGTGGTCAGGACGACAAAAGTGATGAATACCACTGTTGCAGTGTGGACGCCAAAAAGGCTGGTGGTTTTTAAAAACAGGGATCCCACCACTAAGCGCACAGTTGTTTTGCAAAGGAGAACTGCTCCAACTTTCGAGGCTCTGTTAGATTACCTTTCCCAAATGTTACAGTTCCCAGTTGTGAAGTTATACACAGCTGATGGGAGAAGAGTAAGTATGGGTTTAATTACCTTGTCCAAATGAAATTACTTCTAGCATGTCTGCTCTTTCTAATCAATATCTTGTTAGCGTCTTGTTTTTGAAAATGTACTTTTTCAATCTATTCATGATGGAGATGTACATGTAGGGCGTTGTCAGGCAGAGCAGTTTCTCAGATTTGCTACTATTATACCATAATTTTGCTAAGCAAAATGGCTATATTTGTATTGTAGACACTGCAACCCCTGATTCCTGTCACCACTTCTATAAAAACAAAAGTTTCTCTACAATGCACCAGTTTAACATTATACCACACTGAATGACTTTGTTTACATCTCAGGGATTGAATTATACTGAATAATTGATTGAATTCTCCTTGAAAGTGTGTTTGAAAGCATCGGCAACAACTGTTATTTTTCTGTTTAAGAAACTAAACTGCACATGTTTAGTTATATTCAAGGCATGCAAAAGTTTCTGAAAGAATACTGAATGCAGTCGTATTTTTATCTTGATAATCAGATGCAGATAAAACAAACCAATATAAAATTGCTTATTTTATCAGATACTCACTTAAAATGATTAGACTACATTATAAAGACAGTACATCACAATTTAAAGTTATAATATTTGCAGTTCCTTTGGATCCTTTGAAGTACACCATGTCAAGAATCATTATGCCAGAGATTTACCCATGATGCTGTAATTCCCAACCACCAGCTGGGTGAAGGCACTATAATCACCCTTTCCCATATGGTTCTCACACAGGTGTTTACACAGGGTTTACGTGACTAGACAGAAACTGGCATTTAGCCATCAAAACATGAGTGTTTTCAGGAGCTCTGCATGGAGAATGTATAATGTAGAAACTTGAGTCATGCTTCAAAACATTTTCTTTGACAGGAACATTTAAGAAAATGTTCATTTTAAGAAAAATAAGGCTCACTTTCATTTTGTAGGTTGAAGGCCTACCTGCCCTGATCCTGTGCTCAGGGATAGTGGTAGCGGCTGGTAATGAACCCTTCAGACTGAGTAACTACAATTTCCAAGGATCATCTCAACCCTCACAGTCAGCCATATCTGAATCTATATGGCCAGCTAAGACACAGTCACTGCCACGTAAGCTCAAAGTTATTAAATCCTACAGTTTCCTTTAGTGTAAACACTGCAAAAAATAATATTTTGGCAAGTGAAAATCTTAAATCAAAGCTGAGTATCTAATACTTCTGTCTTTGAGATTGTTGTTAGAATATTATAAGATGTTTCTTTTTTTCTAGATGTTTATTGTTTATTTTAAGTATTTTTTGTCTAAATAACCAATTAATCTAATGTACTCTAGTTTCTTTGTTTTAGGATATAAGGTAGATACTTTTGTTTGTTTTAAGAAATAATGCTTAAAGCAAAATAATCTGCCAATAGAATGAGACATTTTTGCTAAATAAAATGAATTAAAACAAGTAAAACTGTCTAGAAATAATTTATAATTGTCTAATATTCCTAAAGCACATATGTCAACTGACTTGAAAATATTTCACTTGCCTAGATATAATTTTTAATTCATCACTTGTAATGGTTCATAATAAGCAATTTTGAACTTCACTGCATTATGAAGGACTGTGTTCGCTGAACTTTTTTTCTTTATTCTTCTCCTCTTTTTGTCATTTTGCCTCTTTACAAACTGCCTTTTTAAATAATGCCTGCAAATTTGGAAACACCTGCATGTTTTTTGAAACTACCTTAAGAAGATAAGAAAAAATCAGGTGGAAGTCGATCAAGGTCGAGAAATTTTTCCTTATCATCGGAAAGGTATTTCGTGGATCAGATCAATAAGTCACTGAATGGAAGTCTGTCAGAGGACAGTGGCCAGAAGAGAGGATTCATGGACGCTGAGAACAACCAACCACTGGAATCAGAGGAGATTGAGAAAAGTGATTTCATTGCTGATATAGAGGAAAAGGATCACTTTATGATGCCTTCAGAAGATGACATTGAGAAGTCTTTTCGTGTGAATCAGGATGGCAGCATGACGGTGGAGATGAAGGTTCGTCTCACTTTAAAGCAAGAGGAGATGATTCACTGGACCACCACACTGAGTCGAACCTGTGCTAACAGCCAGCAGAGGGCAGTGTGCTCACAACCAGGCTACTCCCCATATAGTAATGACTACTCTGCAAAACAAGCAAAGAGAGACAGCCGTGACTCTAAAGAAGACAATACACCCACAGAGAAATCAGTGGGATTGAATGAGGAGGGAGAGGACCACTGTGGAAGCGCCACCTCTGAGACCTTAGAAAAACCAAAGCCAGCTTTCAGGAGGCTGCCCACTCCAGGACCTAGACGTGTCAGGAGAAAAGAGGCTTCAGTAGAGAATATAAAGAGGGTGTCACAAAGCGAGGTGCAGGAGAGCACAGTAGGTGCATACTCATACACGGAGCGGACAGCGGATGGAGAGCTAACAGAAGGGTACTGTGTGGTAAGTCGTAGTAGCTCTAGCAGTACAAGACCTGTACCAAAACCCAGGAAGAACAGCTCTGGAGAGGCCAAACATAAAAAGACTCAATCCTCCCTCAGGTCTTCAAGGATGGCTGAGGTCCTTCAACTGCAAAACAATGGGACAGAGATTACAGAGACCGTAATGCGTATTTATGAGTCACAGGGTACATATGAAAACTATTTTGCAAATGCCCCGATTACTGCTGATAAAACGTTTGAGTTCAAAGCAAAGACTAAAGAACCCAGGAACCCTGACTCAACAGACTCAGGGCCCCGTTCTTCAAGCAATGATTGCGATGTTGATCTAACTAGACAATCCACAAGCTCTGACTCTCAGAATGCTAGGAAAAATGAACTGTTGTCCTTGTCATCTGGCCAATCAAGCCCTTCACAAAAGATAAGCAACAATCTCTCCTCCTGTAAAAACAGTGAAAATCAAGCTAAACCCAAATCCTCACACAAGGGACTGGTGGACCCTGAGGCATGCACTAAAGAAAACTCTGAAGGAAAAAGCAGTGGCAATAGGAAGACAAAAATGACCCCAAAATCAGTAAAATCAAGGGAAGGTACTACTTCTGACACCACTGTTTCTGACAAAAAGCAAAAGGGCAGTGTTCCCGGTTCTTTAAAAGACTTAAGGAATAGTAAATCTCCAGAGTCACAGAGCCATACAGGGTCAGAGAAAAAGGCAGTTAGCTCTACAGAAAGTGACAAACACAGGCAGAAGGCTAAAACGAAAAAGAAAGACAAAGGGGGTGGTTCTCAAAAAAGCCAATCACCAAATTTCAATTTTGGTGATCAAAAAGAATCATCTGAGAAAAACCTTAATCTAAATGATGCAACTCGCCAGAAATCACCTAAGAAGGTAAACGTACGTGAGAGTAACCTTCCAAGGGACTGTCAAAATGTGAGTGCATGTAAAACTGACACACTAAGATCTCCTGTTAAGAAGAAATTATTAGATGTTCTGCCGCCACCCCATTTCAAAATGCAAAAGCACAAGTCTATGAATGAGTGCAGAAAAAAATCTCCTAAAGAAAGCAGGGAGTTGAGTGAAAGCGTTTCTATGCCAGTGCTCCAGTCATCTCCCTCCAATGTGCATCAGTATGTGGAAAACTGGCTGAAAAAAATTCAGCCTGAATCGGTGCCCTACATGGATGAGATGGACCCTCATGAGGCTGAAACTGAAGCTAGAGCAAAATTTTGGATTGGACGTGGATCCGCAGAGAGCTCTGAGATAAGAAGTGAACCAGAAAAAGACAGTATAGTGAAGGAATGTACTTCTCTTGAAGATGCTACCACTGAGAGACCGGTGTCTCGTCCACCTGTGCAGATCAGATGTGAAGGAGAACCTGTGGAGACACAGAGGATAAGAAGCTTCTGTAAATCAATGCCCAGTGTAAGAATCCACCCTGCTGAGCAGGAGAGTCACTTTAGAATGAATAAGTCTTCAGAGGCCTTGGTTCCCATACAGCCTGATGAACACAGTGAGACATCACAGACTACAAAAGTGAACACTAGATCAGGTATGAAGCCAATTTTGCAACAGCTCTGTTTATCTATTCAATCTATCAGGAGGACCTCTAGCCATTCTCATTTAACATCCTTGGAGAAGGAGAAGTCTAGTAGCCTTCCAGACTTTTCATCTCAGGTTGCCTCTGTTTTTGGTTCCCCATCGAAAGCTCTTCTATCCTTTCTGTCAGTGATGACTCTGAAAGATGGTGTCTCCAGCACTAGCAATGAAGACCCAGTCATTAACTCGGGCAGCTGTCCAGAGGCCCTGCAGGTAATGCAGTCCTTAGAAAAAATAGCCAGCATAGAGGATGAAGAAGAGCTGAAGGCCAGCCTGACAAGTCTCCAAAGCTCGACATCTCCTCAGTTAAAAAAAAGCTGGAGAGATTTCCAAGAGAGAAGTGATGTAGAGGGAAGTCCACCACAGTCACCAAGACAGTCAGAGCAAGAATTTGCTCTAGAGGTGGACTCAGAAGGAGAGGATCAGGACAAGGAGCATCGTTTTGGGATAAAAGAGTTAATGGATGAGCTTAATATGTCTGAGGATCTTCGCAGAGAGATTTCCTCTCTTGTTGATGGGGAGCCGACAAATTCCGATACAGAAAAACAGACTAACACAGCCACTAATGTTGCTTCTGAGAACAAGGATGCCACTACAAAAGACAACTTCTTAGATCCAGAAGGAGGCTTTTCAGAGGAGAGAGCAAGCCATGATGACACCATCACAAGGGTTGAGAAAGCAACAGAGTCTGAAGAAAAATGCAGAGAGGAATCCTGTCCTCCTGATCCAGCACTTTTAAGTAAAGCCTTAGTTTCTGAAAAATCAGACATTATTGAAAGTGTCCGAACTGTGGAAGATGAGACAAGCCATACAGATCTAATAGGCGTGGGAGACAAGGTCCGAAACAGTTGATGAAAAGTACACTGAGCATGCAAACTGCCGAGTAGATGAGCCTGAGGTCTCAGACCACACCCAAAATAATCTTGAGGAGAAGAAGGGAACACAAAGGAATGTGTTTAATTCTGAATGGGTAGAAGCTGAGCATCATTCTCACACATCAGAAATAGACAGAGCATACTTGGGAGATCAACATTCTGAGGTGAATGATGACCCAGACAGTGAGACTAAAGAAGACAATGAAGAAGATGATAAAAACATAGATTTAGGTGAACACAACGTAAATGCAGAGAAGGATGAACATGATAAGTTTACTAATAGAGAGGAATATGAGTTAGATGAAAACCAAGAAGCAGAACTCCAGAACAATGCTCTTATCCAAGAGGAGGATTTTAGGGTTAATCAGGAAGTTTATAAGTCTGAAGAAGAGGAACAGAATAATGACATATTTGAAAGTGAGAATGCTGAATCCCAGCACCAAGAGCCAGACAAAGTGCATTGTGACTCTGAGTCTCACAACAGCTGTGATTCAGAGAAGCTGGCAGCAGAATCACCTAATGATGAGCACAATCATAATATTTCGATTGAGGAAGATGCTAGATTAGAAGCTTTACAATGTAGTGTAGATGATGCTGATCCAGATGCTAATAATGACAGCCCAGTGGAAGAGCAAGGTGATAATGAAAATGAAGATACAGTGTCTAAAGCCTCTGAATATGATGATTCAACTGCTGAATCACACCATTCGTCAATATCAGATCAAGATATAAAACAGGCTAACAAAACTAAGACAGGATCTTGTATATCCCCAGGATCTGAAAGTGAACATGAGCTCCAGACATTAGAACAGGAAGATGTTACTGCGAAACAGATTTGTTCTGGTGAGAAGAATGATGAAGAAGCAGGTGAGGACAAATGGAGCAATGCTTTAGATTCGGACAAGGACTTTGATGCAGAACCAAACTATCCTGCTATGTCAGATAAAGCTGGTGAATGCTCTGACCAAGACAAGACACTGTCTGGTAAATCTCAAGAATCAGAAGCTGAACAGGAGCTCCAGACATTAGAGGAGGAGAAGGTTACTGAAGAGAAAGATGAAGAATCAGATGAGCATGAGGACAAACAGAGTAGTGCTTTAGATTCTGAGAGGGACTTCAATTCAGAACCAGAATCAAACTATCCTGCAGCGTCAGAACAAGATAGTGAACACTGTGACGAAAACAAGTCAGAGTCTAACAAATCCCAAGAATCTGAAGGTGAACATGAGCTCCAGACATTAAAAGACAGTGATATTATTGAAAGACAGATCAGTTCTGCTGAAGACAAAGAAAAAGAAGCAGATGACGAGGACTTTGATGCAGAACTAAACTACCCTGCAATGTCAGATCAAAAAGGTGAACACTCTGACCAAAACGAGTCAGAGTCTTGCAAATCTCAAGAATCGGCAGCTGAACAGGAGCTCCAGACGTTAGAGGAGGAGGATGTTCCTGAAGAGGAAGACACAAAAACAGATGAGCAGGAGGACAAACAGAGCAGTGCATCAGAGTCTGATGAGGACTTTGATGTAGAACCAGAACCAAATTGTCCTACCATGTCAGATGATGCTGGTGAAAACTCTGACCAAAACAAGTCAGGGTCTTGCAAATCCCAAGAATCTGAAAGGTGAACATGAGCTCCAGACATTCAATGAGAATAGTATTACTAAGAGACAAAATAGCTCTGCTGAAGAAAAAGATGATGAAGCAGACAAACTGAGCAGTGCTGTAGATACTGACGAGGACTTTGATGCAGAACCAAACTACCCTGCAATGTCAGATCAAGAAGGTGAACACTCTGACCAAGACAAGTCAGGGTTTTGCAAATCTCAAGAATCGGAAGCTGAACAGGAGCTCCAGACATTAAAAGAGGAGAATGTTACTGAAGAGGAAGACAAAAAAACAGATGAGCATGGGGACAAACAGAGCAGTGCTTTAGAGTCCGATGAGGACTTTGATGTAGAACCAGAACCAAATTGTCCTACAGTGTTAGATGAAGATGATGAACACTCTGACCAAAACAAGTCAGGGTCATGCAAATCCCAAGAATCTGAAGGTGAACATGAGCTCCAGACATTCAAGGAGAATAGTATTACTGAGAGACAAAATAGTTCTGCTGAAGAAAAAGATGATGAAGCAGACAAACTGAGCAGCGCTGTAGATACTGACGAGGACTTTGATGCAGGACCGAACAACCCTGCAATGTCAGATCAAGAGGGTGAGGATTCTGACCAAGACAAGGCGCAATCTTGTAAATCCCAAGAATTAGAGGAGGAAGAAAATGTAACTGAAGAGAAAGATGAAGAAGTAGATGATCATGAGAACAAACAGAGTACTGCTTTAGATTCTGACAAGGAATTTGATACAGAACCAGACTATCCTACGGTGTCTGATCAAGATGATGAACTCCTCGACCAAGACAAGACACAGTCTTGTAAATCCCAAGAATCTGAGGCTGAACATGAATACCAGACCATAGAGCAGGAGAGCATCACTGAGAAACAGACCAGCTCTGCTGAAGACAAAGATGATGAAGCAGATGAGTATGTGGACAAACAGAGTAAAGCTATAGATTCTGACAAGATTATTCAATCTGCCCACTCTTGCATGCCAGACCCTGAAACCAAGCACCCTGTGAGGCGAGATTCATGCAATAGTCAGGATACAGAAGCATATATAGCCCAGTCAGAAGATACTGAGGGAGTGGAGGAAGCTGAAGGCTGTCTTTGTCATCCTATGGAGATCTCCCAGGAATTACTGGACTTTGTCAATTTTGCTCTATTATCCTCTGCTCTTACTTTCACATATGATTCAAATGGCCATCTAAGAATAGAGCCAGATAAGTGTAAAATCAGAGAAACATCTTTAGTTGAGAGAAATGTGGACAGTCAGTATGTTCAGAGACGTCTTCCTAGCCCCAACACGTCTGACCTCTCTGATTACAGGCCTGAGACATCAGACAGCGGAGGAGATATATCACAGGTCTCCACAGATCTTTTTACAGAGACTGGAGAGGAGGAGGTAGAAAGGTTGTCCACTTACCAAGGCATCATGAAACCAAGCTCCAAGAATGGCAAGAGATGTGATAAGGCGCTGGATAATAGTTCAACAAAAACTAATTCAGGGGCATTCACAAAACATACAGCTAGCCGTAGTTTAAAAAGCGTCAACAGCCTTGCCTCTTTTCATGATTCCATAGCCAATAGTACCATGCAGGAGCCAACCTACAGCAACACCTCCAGTTCATTTAATGAGGATTCTGAGCCTGTACAACGCACTGTTTTCTGTTCAGAGGCAGATTCCAGTGAAGGAATCCTGATAGATAAAGGCAGGTGGCTCCTAAAAGAAAATCACCTCATTCGCAAATCTCCTCCAGTCCTGATGGGGATGTATGAAAATGTGGACACCACATCAGCTGACACAGGTCAAGACAACACAAGTGAGGAAGCTCCCCTACCCACCTTGTGGGACCCAGCCTTCCCCATTTGCTGTCATATCTTCTTCTGAGCTGGAGGAGATGGCAAAGCCCCCAACACCCAAGTGTACATACTTCAACATGCCTCACAGTAGTGACTCTGATCCCTTTCTGGATAACCAGAGCACCAACAGCAGCAAAGGAGGAGGTGACATTAGAAAATGCAGGGAACTCAAAGTATCACCAATGGATGAGACCTCAAAAACGTGGGCAAAGAAAAATGGAAGTCTCCCCTCATTTGCATCTGTTGAGTTCAAACTGCCTGATGGGAAAGTCCATCCAGAGGGTGGCCTGGCATCTGGTGTTGTGGAGAAGACTGCAAGGTCCCAAAGCATAAGCAGTAGGGCAGCTCAAGAGGAGGAGTCAGTAGAGGGTCTGAATCTCAGATGTGGACGGCACTGCCCGATACTGTAAATTAGTGCTCACCAGCCCCCCTTCACCTACTTACCTAACATGAATGCATCTTATGAAGTCAATCCAGGAAATAAATTAGCTGGAAGGTAGATCTCTAGGACCAGTGTTGGTGATCAATGTTGTAGAGTATGAAAGGGAATACAAACTAATGCATTAACTGTTCTTTCTTTAGGAACTGAAATATTTATAAACCATTTTGCTTAATGTTAGGGAACATAGCTCTTTTATGGTCTCAAAAGAGTTACCTTTCCCACTTTGGTGCCTGCTTCAAAATGGTCCTTGGATTATAGTAATAAAACAGTTCAATTTCATAAACATGCTATGTTGAGCTTAACTTGGTTTTAATTGGCATGTATAGTCTTTTTCATCAAGTATGAAGTTTATTGCACAACAGATCTGACTTACTTGAAGATATGAACCTTCCTAAGTGGTATTTGTCTAGTGCTCTGTAGGTATATTTATCATATAAACCTTCCAGCAACACTTTACAGATTAAAAAAAAAATCTTTAAAGTTGCTTATTTTAAAGTTTAAGTACAATTTCCATTGTATAGCGAGTATATTGCACAGACACAAGAAATGAAGGCCCTCGGTGGAGCGGTGGGCCAGGAAAATGCCTTTCTTTTCTACAGTGGTCTGATACAGGTCACTCTGAGTTCTAATACTGTGACATGCTCTAGCCACATGACCAGCAAATGAAGTAATCTGTGACATCTGTGATAAAAACAAACTAAAAAAAAAGACTATTCTTGTGTGCAGAAATGGGATGGCCGTAATATTCTAAACCCATTTCATTCTCTGTAATTAAACACATTTAAGTTCTTCTTTGTAATACCAACATGGCAACCTCAAAAAACATTTTGCATTTGTACCTATGCTATCTTGCATTTGTACATAATAGCTTTCAGGGTGCAAATAACCATCAAATGAATCTTCCGTTTGAAGAGTGTAAGATATTACATTCAAATTACAGTGGCTTTATCATGAGTCTGCTGAAGGTCTGTTTCTTGTCAAGTGCTTGCAAAGGCTTTTTGAAGATACCACACAACTTGTTAAATTATTTTAAAATATAGCTCCATAATATATGTAGAAGAAATCCATTCATTGTCAATAATTACTCATCAAAGCATATTACAAGCAGTAGGAATACACTGAAAACATCTGTATAGCTTTCTAAGGTGACTTGATGACATGCTATTAGAAATGAATGAATCATTCTGACATCTTCGTGCCATTGTTTGCCCTCAGGTTATCTTAAATTTCCACAAAGCAATCAAGCAGTTAAGAACATGATAGAAAAATGGACAATGTGTAAAACAAACCTAGTTACAGTAAATACTGTGTATTAGCTGCAAGATACTACCTGAAATGTTTGCTATTTTTGTTACTCATACAGATTTAATATTTTAGTGTCTGCAGTTGATGTTGTGTAACTGAAATACCACAGCTCTTTTTTCACCTTAGATTACCATTTTACCCTCATGGAGTGACGTACCATGTCTGGGCAAATGGTATACCCTAAAATCATTTTTATATAAAGGGACGAGCACAGGCAACCATATGCTGGAGCCTAGAACTAAGAAAATATACAGCGGCAGCTTTCGCCAAATGCAGCACAGTTCCTGTATTGTTATGAAATGAATAAAAACCTCAAGCTGATTAATTTGTGAGTGGTGTGGTTTTTGCGAAGGCTTCACATTTCAATTTTACTTGAAGCATCATTCTTAAATAATGGAACTTATAAGGCAAAGACCATCATGTGTCAGGTGGATATATTTCTACTTGAGTTACTCACACAAGCACAAAAAATACAGTTTAAAGTACAAAAGTACAAGTAATATTTTACCAAAGGTGTTTCTACTTTTACTCAAATAAAGGGTTTTTATTTGTATATGTGTACCCACTCACATGGGAAAATGTGTATGAAAATGATCACTTAAGCTCAAGGGCAATAAAATATTCAGTAGAACTGATACAGGGTGGCGGAACGGTGGCGCAGTGGGTAGCGCTGTCACTTCACAGCAAGAATGGCCTGGGTTCGATTCCCGGCCGGGCGACCGGGGTAATTTCTTTGTGGAGTTTGCCTGTTCTCCCCGTGTCTGCGTGGGTTTCCTCCGGGTACTCCGGTTTCCTCCCACAGTCCAAAAACATGCAGTCAGGCTGATTGGACACGCTAAATTGCCCCTAGGAGTGAGTGAGTGTGTGAATGTGTATGTCTGTCTGTCTGCCCTGCGATGGGCTGGCGACCTGTCCAGGGTGTATCCTGCCTTCCGCCCAATGACAGCTGGGATAGGCTCCAGCACCCCACCGTGACCCAGAAGGATAAGCGGTTTAGATGATGATGGATGGATGGATGGATGATACAGGGTGTTCCCAACCAGGCCTCTGCTTTAAGTCCTAAGTATATTACTTGGGAATGATTCTTCATAATAGTGATATAAATGCAGCAAATATCTGTTGCTTTAGTTTTAGGTTTAAGACAATAAGTTAATGTCATTTACATTGTAAAATATCCTGCAATGCCTAGCATAAGTTGTTCATACTTTTTACTTAATACATTACTAAATACATTGTGTTACATAAGTATTACTTTATAAATATTATTCTATGCTTGTGCATTTGTTATGAAGTACTTATATATGTCAAATAAATATTCAAATAAAGTGATAGCACAATTTTTCAAAACATCACTAAAGAAATACGCTAAGAAACAAGCCCACAAATAGCAGATCTAGCCCACCCATCTAGCTGACAAAATATATGATGGCAATAGTGAATTGAAACTGGAAGAAACACTGGATGAACTGGAATGGAAGTGGAAGAGTTATATTAGTCAAAAGTTGGCTGATATCCTTATGAAAGCAGGTTAACCTCTTCTTTCAGGCTCTGTGCATCTCTAAACCAGTCTTACAGGAATCCTTTGGAAACAGCAGACTGGAGTTCTGTCAGAATATGTTTGCCTTCTTTGATTTTGCCTGATCTGTAGGCCCAAGCCTCACTGGATTCAACACATCCTATGTCTTATATTTCTGAAAATTGTATGATGCGCTTTAAGAAATTATGGAATAAAACAAAAGTAGCTGTACTGTAGAGAAACTTCGCAAAGTTTCAGGCACTAGTGTTGGCAGTGACAAGAGCTGAAAACTTCAAAGGTCCACACATATATTGGTGAAAACATTGGAATCAATGTTTGCTAAGAAGTGATGCAGACAAATAAAACAGATGTAACATTATGGTAGGACTAACGGTTTTCCAAGAATGTGTAGGAGACTGTAAAACAAATGATGATGAGTGTAAATGTTTACTGTAAGTGATTCAAAAATGGTAATAACAGCTGTTATCAACTGGACATATTATCACGATATAAAACATATTTGACACAGATGACTGTGTATACAAATTTTCATTGTGTAGTGTGTCCACCATTTGTCTTTATTATAGCTTCCATTCTTTTCAGGAGATTTGCTTTTAGTTTTTCAAAGAAACAGGGATCTGGAGGAATATTTTTCCACACCTCCAAAGTTCAGTCTTATAAGATGGTTGCATTTTCTGATTCTCCCTATTTCCAATTCCAAGGTGGTCTCTGACTTTTGCACAGTACTGTACATAGATAGTACTAGCCTATAGTCTAGTTAGATAAGCACTTGACTAAAATCCATGAGATTTGAAGTCAGAGATAAGAAACGTTGCATTTATTAGTGCATTATAAAAGTATTCACATTTATAAACAAGATACAGTTGGCACAACTGAGCAATTGCAGGATACTGTAGTAGTTCAGTCTCATGATTAAAATAAAATGTTTAGAAATCAATCAAATGAGTTTGAGAAACAACTAAGAAGTTCGAGAAAATCAGGCTAGCCTCTATTAGACTGGTAATTAAGCTATATCTAAATGTTCTGCATTCAATCCCAGGTAATTCTGAGCATCTGGCAGCTGAGCTCCCACAACTTCTGCGCCATTTCATCATCTCTAGCAGCTCTGGTGCAGCTAGAAGGTCCACAGTTACTATAAATGAAGAAAGAGGAAATGATTAGAAACATATTAATGACTACGTTTCATGGACCTATGCATTGTGAACACAGTTATACCAACGAGATTTAGAAAAACATCTGGATACAGTTAACCATCAGGTGTGGATTTAAAGTGGTTCGCAGTATTCCAAATGTAGTTGAATTGTTACGACATGTATGGTGTGTGAGGTTTGATTCTGTAGTTTTGCACTGGAGCCACGAAGGTGATATTCTAAAAGTCTATGTCGCTTTAAAAGACACCAGTGTCCATTACTTCTTATACTTGTTGGTTTAGCTACAAAGTGTTCATTTTACAAGCAGTAGTATGTCATACAGTGTCAGAAACCACAAACGGTCTTTTTGACATTACTTAATAACTTGACATAGCTTGAGGAGAGTGTTTGATGATTTAGACATGCTAATTAATGAGTTAAAGATTAATGAAGCAGAGAAACTGGAGAGAGAAGAATTGCCGCTCAGTAATGTCAGTAGACGGGTTTAAATTGAATGGGTTAATATGAAGCATTTGAGCCAAATCATAGTTTATAAATGCTTTGACATTTTTATGTAGAAAAATGCATTCATTTCCTGAGCACAGAACAGCATAAACATTTTAACACCACTATTTTTTTGAGTGCTTTTTGAGCTGCTCCACTCGCCAGCCAATCAGCACTCAGTAGCTGTAATGCTAACCAATCAGCACTCAGTAGCAGTTATGCCAACCAATCAGCACTCAGTACTAGTAATGCCAACCAGTCAGCACTCAGTAGCAGTAATGCCAACCAGTCGGCACTCAGTAGCAGGTGACTGTGTACAGGTGAGTGTTCTTTGCTTTTTTAGTAAAATACATCCTTCTACTTTTTAAAGTTAAAGGAAGGTCCTGGACAAGTGGTTATAAACGATATTAACTTTCTTTTCAAGCTGTTTAGCCCCTGTTTCACCCCTGTTAATTTAAGACTCACTCACAGATGCCCTCTGGTGTTTTGCAG